ATTGTTGCCTACGCATGGCATTATTGTTGCCTACGCATGGCATTATTGTTGCCTACGCATGGCATTATTGTTGCCTACGCATGGCATTATTGTTGCCTACGCATGGCATTATTGTTGCCTACGCATGGCATTATTGTTGCCTACGCATGGCATTATTGTTGCCTACGCATGGCATTATTGTTGCCTACGCATGGCATTATTGTTGCCTACGCATGGCTTTATTGTGGCCTCAGCATCGCATTATTGTTGCCTACGCATGGCTTTATTGTGGCCTCAGCATCGCATCATTGTGACATCAACTATGCATTACTAAAAATTAAAGCTGTGTTCGCCTGACTTATTTTGTGGCATCATCGTGGCCTCAGCTTCGCAGTCACACAAAGTCCCCCAAATTCAAAAGGGATTTTTAAATGCACCGGGGAACACAAGACAAACAATTGTGAATACTTAGATGACGACTCCACGTTAAACACAGCGTGAAAATGGCAATTTAAACTTTCCGGGGCAGATTTACATAATACTACAGTTCGATAACATGGCTAAAATCCATGAAAAGGGAGCTGCAAGTCGTATAATGCCAAAACAGTACCATGATTTCACAACTTTCAAAATATGTTCGCTTTTATCGATGTCTACTGCTCAACAGTTTAATGTCTTCCCGTTCGCAAGAACACAAAGCCTAAACTATCAGAACTTCGTAACACATAATTCGAGTGATGGTATAACAAAATAACTCATCATTTGTAAAGTCAATCCATCGAAAAAGTATATAGAACATTTTTATAAACAATTTTTAATTATATAAATACACTTTGAAAAGAAACAAGATTTATAAACATAAATCTATTTAAATACATTCTTACTACAAATTACACAATACCTATTTTTTGATGAGTTCCTTCACAGCACGAACTATTGGAATCATGCACACGTGTGAGTACTTCGGTGACACATTTTATAGCACGCCTAAAATAGTCCATCATGTATTACGTAACTGTGACCACATGACATCATTCTGTTAACATCCACACATTTTCATAAAATCTCCATGCACTATTTGACCTTTCATAAGTACAATACCCTACAATTTACTCCAGAAAAACAATTTTCTTGGTACATTCCTACATTCTTGCATACTAATGAGGGATTCAAACACATTCCAAGCTGAACAATTTTCTTTGACTAACAACAAAGCTGGTCAATCCTTTCCCAGCAACAAGTGCATAGATTTCAAACTATTATTGGATTGTTTGTGATGGCGTCAGGTCATCACCCTGACAACATTGTGATGTGTAAAAAGAAAAAAAACGTCATGTTGGCTATGATTGTTTTGACTGAGTTCCATGCATGAGAACGAAAATTGATATGAAGAGAAAGCAGAAATATGCCATGTAAATTATCTCATCTTTCCACATTGACATTTCACAGTCTCCCAATGTTCTTTTACTAGCACATATAGTGTGCAAGCCAACAGCATATTTATTTGTTTATTTTATTTATTTTATTTATTTATCTATTTATTTTTTTTTTGCGTTGTATTGTATAGTATTTTTAGGAGGATTACTACTTGTTCAAATCATAAATATTTCTATGTACTATGACAGGACGTACGCTGTTCTGAGTTCAAATCCTATGTAATCTTTGATTTGTCCTGTTTCACTATAATGTTTTAAAAACTTGCCAATCAATTTTTTAGAAACCAACACACGAACTTCCTCCTCCAATCTTCCGAATGTCAACCTGCTTGATTCCAATCAGTCAATCTTGATATTTGGACGGGGTCATGCATGATTTAGCTTGAACCGAGCATTTAGATGAATACAGCTTGCATGTAAGACAGCAAAGAGTATCTGTATGAATACATATAGGGCTCAGCATTGTTTATTTATGTAAATTACTTCTTTGTTTGATGAAGTGATGCTGTGTGATGCCACATTGTCGCCATAATGAGGCCACAATGAAGTGAAGCGATAATTCAATGTTGCGACATTGATGCGTTGCTGAAGCCATAACAATGCCATAATGATGCAATGCTCAAGGCTGATGTGGAAGCAAGGTCAATACTTTAATACGCGATAACTGTACTGTATCTCACCCAAACAATAGAAAATAGAATGGAAATAGAAACCTGTCAAACCTAAACTCTATGTAAACTGACAACTTGTTTGAATTGATCGAACTCTGTGAAAAATTTAAACATGTTTAAAACTGAACCCTGTGCAACCACAAAACTGTTTAAACTGAACTTTGTGTAAAACAGGAAACCTGTCTAAACTGAACCCTGTGTAAACTGAAAACATGTCTAGTCTGAACTAAACCTTGTGTAAAATGCAATCCTGTTAAAACCAGGACCCAGAGTAATTTGAAAACCTGTCTAAACTGAACCCTGTACAATATGCAAACCTGTATAAAATGAACTCTGTGAAAACTGAAAATTTGTGTGTAATATGCAAACCTGTGTAAACTGAACCCTGTGTAAAGATACGCCAACTTTAACTCATTTATCTTTGATGAAATATACTTACAAACATAAGTAGAAAAGTGTTTTCTCTGAGAGCACCAACACATCCTGCAAAACCCAAGATGAAAATAATCCCACCAGTCACAATAAGTACAATTGCTGGATCTGTGAGTAGGTCAAGATAATCCATAACATCACCAACACCCTTCTCTAAGGCAGCCCATATACCAAGGCCAAGAATTAGAAACCCAAGCACCTACAACAGAGAGGGATTTAATGTTATAAGCACTCACTTATGTACAATAATAATCAAGTATTACACAAATCACATAATTAATATATGTAATCTGCAATTTAAAAAATTAACATCTGAAAAGGAATTTTAAAGATATTATTAACAAGTACAAGTAAAGTTGAATGTCATGTACCAGCCATTGTAAAGCCTAAATTTAGGTAAAAAACAGTCCTTGATAGTTCAATAGTGAAATGACGTGAAATGAGTGAGCCATTTTGAATCAGAACTTAAAACAAATGACATGATATATATAATGTATGGTAGTTGTAAAGTGTGATTGCAATCAGCCAATGTATGACAGAGACATGGCTCTAAAATCTAGAATGACAGTAATGCTTAAAGGCCCAATTCACTTGCCCCGGGCAAGTGTGAATTGGAGGCGGGACTATGCTAATGAGTGTTGTTAATCACTTGCATAGCCTATGACGCATCCTGTTTCAGCGGTCCAACAGCATGTGACTTTGATTGATAGTAGTTAATTATTCAAGATTAATAGCGCGTCCCTTTCCCCGGTTCGTGTTTTTAAATTGCATCCGCCAAAATCGCAGCTCTTACACAATTTATTGTCATAAATACTACACACAGTCACTGCTGTGATATTCATAGTCACATGCATCCACTTTGGCACGACATAATCAATCTGTAAGTTCGAGTAAACGCGTTTTTACCGGAGCTTGGCTGGAGCTGTTTACTACAGCGTGATAAGCAAGGAAATAATCACTATTGTTTAGGAGCGTATTTATAGTATACCCGGGCCTTTAATTAAAATCATGACCAGTTGGTCATGAAACAAATATATGTGCATATATGAGAATAGTTGGTCATGAAACAAATATATGTGCATATGTGTGATCAGTTGGTCATCCAACAAATATATGTGCATATGTGTGATCAGTTGGTCATTAAACAAATATATGTGCATATGTGTGATCAGTTGGTCATCAAACAAATATATGTGCATATGTGTGATCAGTTGGTCATTAAACAAATATAAGTGCATATGTGTGATCAGTTGGTCATCAAACAAATATATATGCATATGCGTGATCAGTTGGTCATCAAACAAATATATGTGCATATGTGTGATCAGTTGGTCATCAAACAAATATATGTGCATATGTGTGATCAGTTGGTCATCAAA